TAACCAACCGACACATTTTCGACTGGCTTCTTCACAACATCGAGTTGCAATACTCCTCTTTAGCAGAAGTGTTATTGCGTATGTAAAAGGTCATTGTTCAATGGATCTTTGACTAGTAGCTGTTCAGACAGCTCTTCGTGTCTAGGTTTCCACAACAGGTGCAGGCTGTTCTCGTCTCACTTCAAAACAACGCTGTAGAAGGAAAGCCTCAAACAACACAAAACTGTGTAAAACATTTCTGCTAAACTTCTACTTGTTATCCTAATATTCGTCCTGTTCGTAGACGCTCTCAAACCCCTCAGAGGATATCTTTATGAAAATGATCTGTCTTTAGATAACGAGAGACAGATAATCCTAGTTGGTGTTGGCACTATGATAAATGTAGTAAGTCCTCTAGAAATTGAACAGAAGCTTGCAGATTCCTAAACTCCAGACCAGTTGACACGAAAATTCCTCTTCTGCACGCACCAACGTTAACCGTAGCCAGCGAACATATCCATCTACTATAAATCCTTAATGTGATTACGAAAGTTCGCTATCTTGTCGACATTGCCTCAGAAGTAAGCGTTCTTCCATCAAGTCCTAACAATAGACTGCAAGAACCAGTTTTCAACTTACGGGCGACAAACAGAAAATCGACTGCCACGGCGATTTGTCATTTATAACGTTTACACAGGCACACTCACAGGATCTTCGGTGTTGCGGACGTTTCTATGCTAATCATTTGTACAGACCTACTACAACATCACTACCTGTTCATAGACGCGCGCTAATGGAGGTCAGTAGACAGAAATACCAATTTATCTGGTTGCGCAACTTTCTTTACTGGTTGTAGATTGTCCCCAGTTACTGTTAAGCACTTAATTCACTCATAATGTCAACAAAACAATGTTACACATCACATCACGACCACATGACTACCTGTATTTCCGAAAACACACTGACTAGCTCCTAAGAAACTAAGGTTGGCCGAAAATGAATCCAACCACATAAAGTCCCTAAAAAGGACAGCAATGATCGGCGTCAAACTGGTGACTGTTGGCAACGGAATGCAAAACCGTAGCTGATCGTTTCCTTTTGCCTCACATTCACGATTCGGAAGCTACTTTCAAAGGCACATTATTGTTTTCAAAACCGATCTGGTTAAAATGTACAACCTAATTCCCTAGGCTGCTCACAGAATGTCTAAAACAGCAATCATTACCCCTTCGGATCTCACGAATGTTTGCCCAATCCTTTCGGTTTAATAAGTACTGCACAAAATTTCCAGAGATTCCTCAACAACGCCTTTCGAGGTATCATCTTGTACTAATATGTAGATGACTGTTTGATTTCAACTCCGGACAGAGAACGTCACTTTCAGAGTCTGCAACTTGTTTGCCAGTGACTTCAAAAACATGGAGTTACTATAAACATTCAGCAATGTCAGACATATTATTGACACTAGGAACCCAACCTTTGCACGGCAATGTGGTGGGCATTCTGGATTATCCAGAAATGACCACAAACAAGTAGTTATGTACGTTTAACGGCCTCGTAAGTATTTGTCGACGGTTCATACCGAATTGCGTGCCTCTCATGAGGTCCTTGACAGACCAACATCGTGGGAATGCCGAAATCATCAAGTTGGACGGCAATGCGAATAGTCACTCTCCTCACTTAAGACAGTTATCGCGAACTCAACTATGCTCGCACACCAGGATATCAAAGTACTGATCAATATCACAATAGACGCATCCGACTCGGCTGTCTGAGGAATCTTACAACAATGCATAAACAACAGCTAACAATCTTTGGAATTCTTCTCGAAACGGTCTCGAGACACTGAATCGAGGTATGGCACTTTCGGTAGGGAACTCTTGCCATTTGTTGTACTGTACGGCACTCTCAACACTGCAGAAGTTCGAAATTTCATTCTATTTGCCGACCACAGACCTTCCATCTTCTCTCTTAGCTCATCTTTATACAGGTACTCCACTCGAGAGTTTCGCCAACTGGTTTACATTTCCCAGTTTACTTCAGCTCACTATGTGACATATATACAGGTGGGGGTCGTCCAAAGGTGCCGAATCATTATCGACATGTCATCTTCAATATGATCCACAAGTTTTCACATTCAGGTGATCGAGCAGCCATCAAGTCCATAGCAGAATGATTTTTCTGGATTTGTGTGAATAAAGACGTGAGGATGTGGGCACGCTTCTGTGTAAGCCTCCAGCACTCTATAGTGATTAGACACAACAAATGTCCCTTAAGCTCTTTAGATACTCCTGACGCTCGTTCCAACCATGTTCATATGGATTTGGTAGGACTGCAGTGGCATTGGGCCCCAACCACATAATCTTCAAAGCTGAACACCAAACAAGTGGAAAAATAGATCTTCAACATTTAACGCGGAGAAAACCCAAAAATCAAGAAAGCGTGAAGCAGTAATTCAATCCGATAGGACGGCATGGCTCAGCCTTGCGGTTGTGATCATTCATGTGTAACTTGTCTCGTCTATTGATTTTTAGTATATTGTTCCATCTCCAGCCTAAATGTGTTTTCCATCATATATTAGTGATTCTTACGATAGGACGAAACAGAGTAGACAATGATGTAACTTTCACATATGATCATACAGAGTAGGTAGTCACATTATGACAAACCTACAAGTCTATTGTTAGAGCTGTACAAATAACGAAGTATACCACAGTTCTATATGAACGTTCTTAGGATTAAATCGATGCTCTTACCTTCTAACGTATATGTACCATTTCACACGATGGCCAAAAGCAGTACTTATCAAGTACGTTACTTCTGAAACAGCGGCCCTCACCTTCATCGAAGGATGAGTAGCAATCCTCAACTTTCCCTCAACTACCACTAGGCTGTGGACGCCAGTTTTAATCTGAACTTTTTTGTTGTCTTACTACATTATAGAACGACCGTCTATGATCCACAAGCAAACAGGTTAGTAGAACGATGTCACTGACAGCTTAAGGCTTCACTCTCAGCTGCATATTTTTCCACTCGTGTCTCTTGGTATTTCTCAATACGGTGTAAGCTGGCATCGGATGCAGTGCAGGACAACGCGTTCACAAAACGACATTCTAACTTCCTTCATGTTTTTCGATGAATACGGATCTAAACTCCTATAAAAACAGGCTTACAAACGCTATGTGTTCGGTTAAACCTGTTTCCACATGACCGCAGTCAACTGACGCTTTTGTTCAACCTGCCTTATGATATAGTACACACGTTTCTGTACGTTGCTACTCATTACGACTACCTCTTGACGTAGTATGCTGAAGACACTTCAGATTCCTTCAGAGTAAACTAAAGCGCTATATCGTTTAATAAAAACTAATGAGGGCATCAGCATTAATTGTCTTAAAGCAGCGTATTCAGAAGACCCTCATAATGTTGATTTCACCCCGGCACACTCGGATGAGACGAGCCTCATAATTACGTCACACACAACTCGATAAATTGCAATTACAAAGAAACTTCGGCCTAGAACAGCGCGTTCTAGAAGGGTAAGTTTTCCGGAACACTTGAACGATTACCGCACGTATGACACTACATAACGTTTTGTTTCATCTCGATTTTTTGTATTATTGTGTGAAAAAAATGAACGCAAACCATTTTGACATGCATATATATAATTAAATTTCTTAATAAAAAACAAAAAGATTATTGTTGTTATTACGTTTATGTGGATACATTTTTCCCCTAAAAAAACTCCATTGTGCAAAAAATCGTTTCCATGTTGTCGCATGTTTACGAAACGCATGAATGTGTTTTTTCATTTTGTCGCCCATTTGTGTCCTTACGGGTGTACGGGTGTATTTCGACATGCACTTACATATCCTTTTTTTCAGGACTGCTGGTGATAATTAAAAATACGATGAAGATGATCTACATAAATGATCTTCCTCAACAGGTAACGTCAGACTTATTACTTTTTGCCGGTGACGTGAAACTTTGGAGAGAGATACGCAACCAAGACGATACACAGGCACTTCAGGAGGATCTGATGCGACTTCAAAGTTGGGCAGACGATAACGGACTTACCTTTAACACTTCAAAGTGTAAAGTAGTCCATCTGCGACATGTCGCAAACTACAGTTACAACTTAGGAAACTCCTCTCTAGTAGTATCCCAAGTCGAAAAAGATTTAGGAGTCCTGGTGCCCCATGACTTAAAGTCTTACGCTAACTGTGACAAAAATGCCTTCCGAGCAAACCTTGCACTGGTAACGTTGAGGCGCATTTTTGGCCAGTTTGATGGAAGAACTTTCCACACAATCTTCAATAGTTTCATCCGTCCCCATTTAGAGTACGGAAACATAGTACTCCCCCCTCACTCCAAAAGGACAAGGTCACTTTGGAGCGTATCCAACGGCGAGCCACGAAATCAGTTCGAGGACTCAAATCTAAGCCTTACGAAGAACGCCTCCGTTCACTAGACCTTTACCCACTAGAATATAGGCGTCTTAGAGGTGATTTATTAATGGCTTATAGTATTCTTAACACTTCTGGACATCCTCTTAAACACCTACTTAAGCTTAGTTCGAATAATAACCTAAGGGGTAACACCCAGAAACTGGAAACACAACATAGCAAGACGGAATGTAGACACAACTTCTACTCCTTAAGAGTTGTCAAAAGCTGGAATTCGCTGCCGGCCGAGCTAGTCCAAGCGACTTCTCAGGAGTCCTTCAAGAGGCAACTTGACCTATTCTTAAGAACCAAGGACAGCATCACACTATGATTTACCAATTTCTTTTCCTCTTTTATTGTTAACATACCTAGGTTCCTGCCTGGAGGATTTCGTGATCCCCTGCTACTAGACACGGAAGCCTGTTAAGCGAAAGCTTCTTCTATTCCGTCCACAACCATTTGGACCATTTGATTATAAAGGATCAAAATTTTTATTGTACTTGCATTTTCATTAATATATTGCACTAGATGACTCTTTTTAGTAAGGAAAGACGATAAGGCATAGAAGAACACAATAAGCTATCGGAGGAGTGTTTGCCAACGACAAACTCGTAAGTTTTAAACGCAGAGTGTGCATTAATCAACCGGTTGCGCTACATTATGGCGAGAACTTATGACCAAGAGCTGGCGTTTCTGGAAAAGATCACCCCAACTTGTTGGAAAATTAAGAAAGGTTTTGTCCCAAACATGAATGCAAGTCTTCTGCTTCACACGGCTGAGTTTTCTTGTGCATAGGTTGAAGGTGTCTTCTACGTGAATAACTTTCTTGAAAAACTTATGTTTGACGAATTACGAAATTTTACACGCAGTGGAGATTATGGTGGGTTTCTACCAGGAATGAAGCAAATAGGGAACGTCGCAGCGTTACCTGGAATTGTTCATGTAAGTCATGTGGCTTCGCATTATTTAGTATACGCTCTCAATGATATCGAACTTAGTAATAATGTATAACAGCCTCTCATGTTTGTTTTCTGTTTTTCTTCATTGTGAGTTTCCACCCAACTCTTCAACCACTTCCCACAAAATCTCGAGCACACTTAAGACTCATTTATTTCTACCTAAATGGTTATATTTATCAACGGTGTCAGAGCATATTTAATCACTTAGCGAGGTTGTTTTCGAATTTGAAATGGCTCATAGGTATCGATCATAGTTTTTGGGTCAGAACTTCTCCTTTAGTTTAAACTTAAATTTAGCCTAGCATCGGATGCACAATGAACCTCCAATTTCGGTGGTCAGTTTATTTGGCAAATTACCACTCATATTTCTTTTCTTAATTCAACATGTGTTTATCTTTACCAATATTCAGTTATTTCTAGGTAAATGCGAAGTACAAGATACCACTCTGGACTCGTAACCTTATATAATTTTATAGCGAGCTTTTAATTAGGTTTTATTGCACAAGGATAAGTTTTTACCCATATGCTCGTCACAGCATCTAAGTTGTGAGTGAACATCCCTAGTTAAAGCAACTTTGCTCTTATGCGTGCGTTTGGGAACACAATATGGCTTGAGGATATAGTAATTATGTCCACCTGGTTCTCTTGTTTCTTCTCCCTTACTCCAGTAAGGGATAAGTCAACTGCTTTGTTTTTCGAATACTATTATTCAAGTTACATTTTCTGCCGTATATGGGTTATTAGTAGGCAGAGTATCCGCCTAAGACGTATCTGGAAAGACTTTCCAATTCTATCCACCAACCATTACTTCATTGTCAGTAGCGATTCCTAGCGGTTAGTCTTTCAGAATTATGGAAGTATATCGTCATATCACTTCAACCCCAGCCTCCCTTACCTTTTCGAATCCGTTGACAATATAATAACTTGCTCTGATGATTCTTGTGATTCAGGACATTTTTAGGCAACTGGTAGATAGTTGTAGTTCGGTTGGATTGTTATTCATCTTTCTGTCTAGCGATCTAGCTAATCTTCCTAATAGATTGTTAATGATGAATCTTCTCAAATAGTTTTCATGCTCATGTTTCTCTGGAAATCTCTAACAAATATCACTTTCTTTCATTTTAATGACAGTAGCTGTAGTGTCAACCAACTGTAGCAATGTTCACTAAACCAATCACGAATCATTTTTGGGGTATTCATCTTCATTAATCTCTTGTTTGCGTGCTAAAAAGCATCGTATTACTTAAGCAATTTAGGAATAAATAATTTAACTAAATATAACCGAAAAGTAACTTCCAATTAGTCAATCTTAAAGGTAAGGTTACTAATATGCTTCGATGATTTGCAACACAACAACGAAAAGAAGTATGAAAAATTCGACTTTTACCTGTTCTATTGTTTTCTCTTAGCGTTCAGTAGGCTTACCTGATGTACATTCTGGATATGGTTTTGCCATCGGTAAGTTACAAACTATTAGATTATGTGTACTAGTTTTGATATTAACTTCCATAAAGAACGGGATATTTTACTAAAGAACTTGATGTTCGACCCCTTTTGGTGGGTAACTATGGTATATCTCTTTAATAATAAATTCAAGGACTTACATTTCTACATGTATCTTGAAGGTCTTACACATCTCAATAATCTATTTCAAACAAAAGTGCCTATTTCTGCTGTTTTATTTTTGATCCCACTGTTTCTCTTTTTTAATTGCTATTCGATTTCATCGATCATCCAGCGTCTTTATACGAGTAATCATCTTGTGCGACTACCAAGTTTGTAAAGCTCCTGAGTGCTTAATAAATTTTCGTAATCCTACTTGACTGATGAGTCGAGAAATTAAATACTTAGTTGTTGCTAATTGTATAAGGATCTTTCTAAATACTCTTCACTCTTTGATATTTTGTATACTAACATAATATGTTAGCCAAATAATTCAGCACGGTGAATTGTGACTTTTTATCATTAAAGCCATGATTCGACTTAGCGTTATAGAAATAATCAAGCAATGAATGGTTTCTAATCTTTTGAGATTCATCACTACCTTGCATACAAATGACGCAGTTGCTATAGTCACATGATAGCCGATACAAATTTATTTTTCAGTTACTGGAAATCTGTTTCACTAGTTGGTGAAATTAGGATTCAATTAATATTACCTTTTATATAAAACCTGTTCAAAATTTGTTAGCAGTTGTTAATTTTCTTCTGAGGCAAACAAAAACCTATAAAATAGTCTATTCGTTTAATTGTAACTGCTTAACGGCTAACAAATTTATGTTCTATACTCTAACATGTCAGTAAATATACTTAGACAAACCCCACATTTCCACCATAAATGCAGTAAACTTTGCCATAAATTTTCATGGGTTATACAAAAAAAAACCAATGCCTAGTCAGTGATCACAGCTTCTGTTAAAACATTACACAAACTACCTGTCGTTTCGGGATATACAGTTAAGTGTAAGTAATCACAATATTCGACTGCCAGCATCCAAACTACAATAGGAGTATACGTTAATTTCGAACGGTATTCTTCTAATTAGGTACAAACTATTGTTCCACAGGATCAACAAAATCATTTATTTGATCTGGTCTAGCAAAATGTTTACAGATTTACTAGTGATACGTCCTTTTTTAGAGTTACCCTAAGTACAACCTATTCTTTTGCAATTATGATAACGTTGGCGAATGTATTATTGATTAGTATTATTAGTCTCACTTCGATAATAATCATGGATGCATAAACGCAGTGAGAACGTAAACAGTGGTAGTAACAAAATGTCATGACATGGCTTAGTGCGAGAAGTCTGTTCCCCCTCTCATATGGCCACGCGTGTACAGCCACTGTCAGGGAGGTCCTACTCACTACCTCGTGGCGGTGGTGTTCCTACGAAATTAAGAGGTCGAAAAGTAAATGCCCAGTACTTTAACCGGGTTGGTGGGCATGGTGCATCCAAATAAGGTAGCTAGAAAACCTTGATTTCAAATCGATGGTGCACATAGGCTACAGGATCCTGAGGGGGCAAATAGCCCATGAACCTAATGTTGGAACCGTATATACTAACGTTGCTCCACTGCAATGTGAATTAGATATCTAGGTCAACGGTTCGAGGAGTGGCTCCCTAAGAAAACAACCCGTTTCATTTTGGACACGCGGACAGTATCTCGGCCTGCACAGAAACTAAATAATGACTAAAATTAGAAGATTTATTCACGCTTTAACTACCTGTTAATACTCGTTTTTATTTTTACATTAGGTCATTTATCTATTCCTTTATTCCCATTCTGTGTATTCCTTTATTTTCCAAGTTCTACAACAGTTCATCTTTGGTGGGAACCCTCTCCAATCTAAACGATCTTAAGTCACTGACTAATCGAGATTTGAACGCTACCACCAAATACGATTTCTGAGCTAGCCTTTGTAAAACCACGTATTCCATTCAAACCGATCTACTTCGACGCTCGTATACTAATTCAGATCACTTAACAGATAGGTCCCCAAATGCCCTGGCATGACCGAGAGTGGGGTGGCCCCCCCTCCCTCTCGAAATACTCTCACACGGCTACGCGTATGCAACCTCTGCCAGGGAAGTTCTACTCACTGTCTTCTTGTGGCGGGGATGTTGTTTACAAAAATGAGAGGACGAAAAGTGAATGTCCGGTCATTGCTGTCTACGAAGGATTTCTGACGTTCGGTCACAACACCATATTGCAGAGGTTCATCATCATGTGTTCGGGTACAGCTACGATAATTCATTTGATTTCACGACCTTGAAACGCCGACTCAGGTGGTTGGCACATGTCTTACGAATGTCGTCTCAGCAGATTCCACATCGCGCATTATTTGCCGATTCTAAAACCGGTTGGAATAAACGTAAAGGTGATCAGTGCATGACATTATTACTACTACTATTATCATTACTGTCATTGTTATTATTTCACTGTCATACACTAATCTTTATTGATTGTTCTTTTTTCTTATAATCAATTTCCCTTTTCTATCTCTTCACAACCTAATTTTTGTGTGACGCATTTATATTTTCGTGCTCTTTTATACCAATGTTTGTGTTCAAGTAAATAAAGTAATAGAATTTCATTCAACCAGCTAGAAATACAGACAACTAAGCAGATAGCGACGTGAATTACACAGTCAGTACGACCCATAGAATTAGTAGAACCGATCACATTTATATAAAATGTTACTTATATTTAAGATTTCAGTATTATTTTAATATCCACTAAGGTAATCAACAAAACCAGAAAGGTTCAATTGTCGCATGGTCATCTAGTTCAATTACAGTTCAGTCGAATTGATTGGCTTACCTTGTGAATTGAGCACAAGTCTGTGTTCCCTTCGGATTTACTTATGAACTCACTAATAAGCAGAAAAAATGGGGTCTATTTGACTGTTTAAATGCTCACTTCCCTAACCTCATAAGAAGCAATTATTATGACTTTTTATCACTTTCATTATGTATCCCATAAATTTTTTTTCTGAGGAAGTGCTCTTATTCTAGCACTCTTTTAAGGACTCAGTTTCTGATATTGAGCTAAACCAACTAACAAACCTAGCTGAATATTTGGCTCAGTTGTTTGAATTATTGATCATAAACTTTCTCCCACTTCGATCACTACTTGTGTTAAACCGTTGGGAATCAAACATACATAGTTTAAGGGGTAACACAACCATGTATGTTCGTACTAAATCGTATGTGTATTCATAGTTGTTGACATCGTATGATTGTTTTTCAGGTAGCATGTAAATATATCTTCGCACTCGAAAGTTTGTATCTTAAAACAATGCTCTGTAAATGTTTCTTTTCGAGACAACGTCAGTCAGCCAGTTAGTCAGCTACAACGTAGGACCAGGCACATATGTGCATCGGTCCAGGTCGCCATACCTCATTAGCACAGCAAGATGAACACCGGATTCATAGGTTAGGTCAAAGGTGGTAATATATAGGAGAAAGATTGCAATAAAGATATAGTATAGGAAGAAAGAATTAGTTCGTAGAAAGAAAGACATGAAGTGATTTTAATCTCTTAGTTTAAGGGAAGACAGGGAGTGTATACACCGACGCCATTGTGATCGATTCTGAGCAGTGTCACCAAGAGTCTCCAACCATTGGTTACGATAGTCACGCGGACCCCAACCAAGTAGTCTGCATTTACCAACACGGCTCAGACTAGAAGTTAGTGACTTCAAGAACTGATGCCACGTTTTGGTTTGGCCGCCCCTAACTTTCTCCCAACCATCCCTTACACCGGTTAGCATTGCACGTCGTGGTAATCGGTGTTCAGGCATACGTAGTGCGTGGCCCAACCATCTCAGTCGATGAAGATTCATAACCTCATCAACTGATTTACCATCATTCCCTAATACCCTGCGTTGAACCTCACTATTGCTTACCCGGTGATCCCAGCAGATGCCAGCAATATTTCTAAGGCATCTGTGGTCAAATACTAGTAGCTTACGGGTGTCTTCTACTCTTAAGGGCCATGTTTCGCTGCCGTAAATTAAAACAGAACGAACTACCGCGCAGTATACTCGTCATTTTATTGGTAGACGGATATCTCGCCTCCGCCAAAGGTGACGTAAGTTGGCAAAAGCCAAGCGAGCTTTTCGAATCCGTGCTGAGATTTCGTCAGACACCAACCCATTAGGGCTGATCAGACTTCCAAGATAAGTGAAGTTGTCAACGCGTTCGACTACTTCACTCCCTATCCTTAGTTCGGGTGTTGACGCAGACCAGTCCTGAAGCAACAACTTGCATTTAGAGGGAGAGAAGTGCATCCCAAATATTCTGGCATTGTTGCTCAGTGCTAACAGAAGACTCTGCATTTTGTCAGCGTTTTCACCAAACAGGACTATGTCATCTGCGTATTCCAAGTCGATAAGTGGACCTCCTGGAAGGAGATCAATACTCGAGAATTCAGTCGACGAGAGTGTTATTTCCATCAATAGGTCTATGATGAAGTTAAACAAGAATGGAGAAAGTGGGCAGCCTTGACGGACACCACTTGAGGTTGCAAAAGCAGATGACAGTTCGCCATAAGCCCTGACTCAACTAGTAGTGTTCGAGTAAAGAGCCTTCACAAGGTTTATGTACTCCTGAGGTACGCCTTTCAATGACAGACACTGCCACAGAGTCTCGCGGTCTACCGAGTCAAATGCTGCTTTTAAGTCAAGAAAGACCACCATCGTCGGACGCCGATAGGTATGCCTGTGTTCTAGAACCTGACGAATGGTGAATATGTGGTCGATGCAGCCACGACCAGGTCTACAGCCAGCTTGGTTCTCTCGAGTTTGTGGTTCACGAGTCTTAGTTAGGCGTTTGATAATTATCGAGGCCAGTATTTTAGATACTATGTTTGTTAAACTAATCCCTCTGTGGTTGTCACAGGATGATTTTGACCCTTTCTTATATATTGGGACGATAAGTGATTGCGACCAGTCAGATGGGATAAAGTCTAATTCCCAGATCTTAGCTAAAATATTAGTCAACCTAATCGATAAAATTGGACCACCATCCTTAAAGACCTCTGGAGCTAATCCATCTGGACCAGCTGCCCTTCCTCGTTTCAGATTAGCTATAGCCTTTTGAACTTCAGCAAGAGTTGGGGGACCTACTTCAATGTTCCACTCACACTGTCTGGGAATGGAGGGTAGTTGTAGAGAAGCTGAAGGCCAGCTGAACTGTTCTCTAAAATGTTCCGCCCATCGTTCTAAACGTCTGGACTGGGAGCAGATGAGAGTATCATCTTTTTCCGAAATAATCTCACTTACACTTGACTTATTAATTCCAGTTTCTTTTATTAGTCTGTAAAGCTGTCTTGTGTTCCCTATAGTCGCCGCCTTTTCCATCTCTTTTGCTTTCGTTACCCACCACTGCTCACGGTCGTTCCTTAGACTTTTTCTTAACCTAGATCTGATTTGTTTACGCTCTTCATCATGTTCAGAACCTGATGGGACGAGTTTGCGAGAATCCATCAGTGTGACAGACCTTGAAGAAATCCACTGGTTCCTTGCAACTCTGTGGTTTAAGTCACTAATAGATGTCACTGCTGTTTCCACAGCTGATTGTATGCCCTTCCAAGCAACATCTGGGTCAGCCTCGTCTTCGCAACTACCTAAGTGTGACCTCAGTTGTTCCTGGAACCTACTTTTGGTTTTCTCGTTACCCAACTCAGTTCTAACGGGTCTTTTTAATGTGGCTTTTTTGCGTCCAGTGAGGCGCAAGCAGATGCGTGCCCGTATTAGGGCATGGTCGGAGTCTAAGCAGGTACTCCAGAATGAGCGACAATCTCCTACCGACCCTCTCCAACGATGACTGATGGCAATATGGTCTATTTGAGTCCATCGTTGGTTTGGTGTAGGGGGTCGCCATGTTAGACGATGTCTCTCCTTATGCTTAAAATTTGTATATGCTAAAAATAAACGATTGTCTGAGCATAGCTGCAGCAGACGATCACCATTATCTGTTCGCTGTGTCGGAATACTAAAATATCCACCTAAATGCCTTTCTGTTTGGTTTAAACTGCCTATCTGAGCATTAAAATCACCTGCTACGAGTACTATGTCTGAGCGTTTAGCTTTCTGAAGAAGTTCGGACAGCTTTCTGTAAAATTCATCTTTCACTTCATCCGAGCTGCAGTCAGTGGGAGCGTAGGCAGAAACGACAAAAAGGCAACGACGTGTGTCCCTATCCTTCCGAGTTCTTACGTAGCCGTTCAGCCGAACAGCACATAGACGACTGCTGACGGGGATCCACTCTAGCAGTGCTTGTTCGGCCCTCATGTTTAGTGCTATGCCTACACCTGCCAGTCCACGAGAACCTGCCATCGAGTCACCAGATACACGAAGGGTGTATCTCGTTGGCTCTCCGTTTTGACGAGGTGAGGTCAAGTGAATAACCACACTGGAATCCTGTATGCGTGTTTCGGAGACACAGCACATGTCAATGGTAAGAGACTCTAGGGTTTTAGCCAAGGAAGCCTGCTGACCGATTTGACATAGGGTTCGTACGTTGAAGGCTCCAATGTGTAGTTTGGAGCGAGGTTTCAGTAGACCTGGGACAGTGTTTTGCGCACTAGAATCGTTGGCTATGGTGACACTTGAGGTGGAAGCCGAGAGAGGAAATTTAAAGTTGAAAGTCGATGTAGGAAGAATAATAGGAATTGAAGAGGGAGGTTGATTATGAATACAGTGGTATTGAGTGCTGTTAGAGGTATGAGGGCGGTTATCACTTCCCGGTTGCCCACACCGTGGAAGGGTTGTTCTGGAGGTACCTGAAAAGGAAATTGGATTAAAGGTGGTCTTAGTGACCTGAGAGCGTGACCGCAGAGCCCAAGGGACAACTGCTTGAGGTCGGTCACACACGACCTTTTTATGGGTAATTTTTGTGTTAGCTCCGTACTTGTTGAGACCTTACCGCCGGAGACGGATATCCGTGGGATAAGGCGAGATGTGCGTTTTTAGGGCCGACCTTTTCTAACCCCACCCCTCCTTGTGGGAAGGCAGCATCGCTGTCATGCTGGTTGTCTAAAGGAAACACCTTACTGCTGTCACACCTCTGTACAGTCAGCAGTACGACTTCGGACCTTGGGTTTGTTGCTTTTAGTCTTACTGCTCTTCAACCGACCTGTCTGACATGGTAGGACCTTGAGGAACGGCTGTTCCAGCCAGTATAGCTCGGTTGCTTCATCACGATAGGCAAGCCCGACCACCACGTCAAGGTAGCAACAACGGTCGGGTCGAGACAACGTTGATCTGTACAATAAAAGGTGACTTGTGTCATGTTAACTTGTCAAACCGACCCCAATGTTCAATGAAATGTTGGTATTTGGGAACTCAATTGACTATTCAACGAGTCACTAATATCAGTTTTTGTAACTCATTTTGTGTATTAGCTTTAACTATAAATGGTCCTTGAATGGTAAAATACCATTTTGTCTTTTTGTACTATAATCCGTTTCAATTAAACATTAATGTTGTATTTAGATATATTTATGTGGAATCGATTTAAAGTCTTCCAATTTTTAAAGGTAATATGGCTGCATTTGACCTGACCAATCCAAAATCAGTAGTCTCACCTGGTGGTGTTGGGTTCGATATCAATTGCGGAGTCCGACTTATACGCACAAATCTGAATTTAAAAGATGTTCTTCCAGTGAAAGAAAAGCTAACTCAGACTTTGTTTGATCATATTCCTGTTGGTGTTGGTTCCAAAGGTATCATACCGATGGATGCTCAAGCTCTGGAAGAAGCTTTAGAAATGGGTATGGACTGGTCTCTGAGACAAGGTAAATTACATTTTACTCTAACTTAAAAGTCTTTGATAGTTTCTAGTTTTTGAATCAATAACTATTTAATACAGATAATTCGACAAGTGATATTTTAGGAGTTGCTTTGGTGAGGGTCTGTAGTTTTTATAAATGAGAGACGATTTTGAATGTTCAACTGCTCTTTAATTTAAAAAGATCAAACTATTTTATATCTGTTAACTGATCATCATTTTCCTTAATTCCTTTCGCATGAGATATATTAGTATATGTTTATATCTGTGACTTTTATGCTAGGAGTATGACATAAAGTGGTTATGCCAGTTCACCTGTAAATTATGGTATCTGATTAAACCATACATACAAATATATGGGATAACATCTCGTCAGAATGGTTTATTTAATCAAAGTGGCCTATAGGAATTAAAGTTGTGGATTGGTAGAAAGCTGTTTTGTTAAAAATAAGGTATGCCTTCTAAATACATCTAGTATTTCAGTTCCAACGATTGCACATTGTTCTTTTGATTTCCTTCTCTGTTGGTATGAATAACTGTTGACCATAAATATTGAATAACAGACGGGATCACCCTATTCTTATCTTGTTTTTGGTATCCGTCTTCACACTAAGTAACTACAAAAATCTCTAATACTTATAAGACTTAATACAGGAACGGTGGTTTGTCACAACTGCTTTAGTTTATGAGGCCTTACAACCTTACCATTCAATTTGCCATCTTTCATCTCGTGCTGAATTGTAATAATTTCTGTTTGGTTTTTCAGTACTATGGTCTTTGTATCTAAAATTCTGTTACGCTTGCATTATAAACATTAGTGTTCTTTATTTAATAAGTATGAATATCTTGTTTATGATTAGAAATCACTCTAGCAAATCTCTTTTTATGAACTGCTTTTTTGTCTTAATCATTATTTTATTATGTGACAGGTTACCCGTCCGTGATTTCACAATTTTTGTTCATTTTATAAGTTAACAAAGTGTAGAAAATAATTTTCCAAATAATGATTTCACAACTTCAAGTTAAGACATTTCTTAATTCACTTTATTTACCTGTAAAGTAAGCAAACAGTGTTGAATGTGTTACGAGACCACGACCCGATAACTTCTCATGTTACTATTCATTCTTCAAAAATTTCATACATTAGGGTATGTCTGGGCGGAAGATAAGGAGCATTGTGAAGAGTATGGTCGTATGCTTCAGGCTGATCCGTCTAAAGTTTCTTCACGAGCAAAAAAACGTGGACTTCCGCAACTTGGGACTCTTGGAGCTGGTAATCATTACGCTGAGATACAAGTTGTGGAAGAAATTTTTGACAAACATGCAGCAACTAAAATGGGCATCAATCATTTAAATCAGATAGTACTAATGATTCATTGTGGGAGTCGAGGAATGGGTCATCAAGTAGGTTCATACATCCTATAAATATATTGTTATATTTTTGAATAGTGAATTAATAGTAATCAGTGAAAATGTATCCTCGATCACACTGTGTTGTTAATGTTTTCTAATAAATTTGCTACCTGACAACTAAAATGACACTTCTGGTTCCTATTTCCTTACTCCCACTTTTGTGAATCTATAAGTAGAAGTTTGCTAGCCATTCAAAACGAAACTTTATCACAAGACGTATTGTTTTACGTAGACAATATTCATTGTATTTCTATGGTGACCAATAATAATCTTTACGAAGGTTGTTTATTGAAATTGTTAGAATATGCAGAAAAATATACCATCAATTATCGTGTTAAGTCTATGGTGGCCTTGGACCTTAAATGTACACTCCCTATTGGTCGATATTTGTTTCACTTATTAAATATTGTGTAAATGTTGTTTTCAATTTTATGGTACGATGTGGTTTGTTTGTTTGGTATATAAATAGAGTGTGTCTGAAATGTAACGATTCATAACTCAGAGGCTGTGACTTGTGTTCTTGACTCAACTGGCTAGGACAGACAGCGAAGCAGGGCCAATCAGGGCACTAGGTCGTTCACTACGCGTTTTCCGTGTCACTGTAATCGATCGATATATAAACGCTGCTTATCAAAACTTGCAGTCACACACGTTACAACAGAAATCATGAATCGATCAATTTTAGACCACCACTGAGAACCTGGGAGCACTGGAAGGCTGTTTCGTCCTAGTATGGGACTCCTCAGCAGTGCGGATCCACGGTCCGCACTCGGGACCTGAACCCAGGACCGTCGGTCCCACGCGTGAACGCTTAACCTCTAGACCACTGAGCCGGCATCCAACAGTGTTGGTGTTTAACTTCAACCGATCCACGGAATTTCGCGACCACCCTCCATTGTCTGAGGTAGATGAAGGTTTTTGCACTAACAGAAAAAAACTAAGGGAATTATGTGGAGACGGCATAATGATTGTTTTCTGGATATATGTTGCAAAAATGTTTGATAGTAAATTGACGACCCAGTATCTTCTATAGTTTACGTCAAAAGCTTGTTTATTGCGATCGGATAAACGATTTACACAAATTAATTAGACTACTTTTAGTTGTGGATGATAGAGTTCCATACTTCCTTTCAGATATTGAAGTAGTACTTAAGTACTCATGTGCTAGACGTGAAATTAAAGATATTTCATGTTCCATATATTAAGACGGTAACTTTGAAAGTAAGCCGTTTTTCTTCAGAGCAATTAAAGGTCTAGGTTAAGTTTATACGAATAAAAAAACAGTCATCAAGTTGTTGTTATTTATTTAAAATTTCAGTTAAAGTACATATATGCCTTTCACTTATTTCAGCTTTTAGTAAAGACTAGCTGAATATTTAATTGAGCTAAAATAGTCATATTCTTAATAATCTAGTTTTAAAGTCAGCGTCTGGAAGTTTCCGGGTTTTCACTTGGAATGACTTGTAAACAGTTGCCTTCATCTCCAACCACCCACTGCAATGAAAAAATGTGGCCGTATAATATATGTAGACAGTTTGAAATTTCATTGTCAATGTTATTTAAACAGCTACTGAAAAATAGAATATCTAACAACATCTACCTCCAGTTTCTGAGACGCTTTTTTCAATAGGTACCTTCAACTATTTAACTTATGATTCATAGTCTCATGAAAAGGCAATTCCAGTCGTTGATGTGCATCCTGTGTTGTCCATTTTCACTCCGAATAGAAAAATCTAGTATTCAGTTTGTGAGATATATAGGTTTGTGAAAAATGGTATTAATTATGTGATTTTTACCATAATTTGTATATCATGATTTAGTGATATGTTTTATGTCCTTACTTTTACTGAGATTGTTACCTAGATTACCTTGTGTATTCTTTTAACTTAGGTTGCAACAGATGCTTTGGTTTCCATGGAAAAAGCAATGAAACGTGATAAAATCGAAGTAAATGACCGGCAGTTGGCTTGTGCACACATTAATTCTGAAGAAGGTCAAGATTATTTGAAAGCAATGGCAGCGGCTGCCAACTATGCCTGGGTTAATCGATCTTCTATGACATTTCTTGCAAGACAGGTAATTTTAGAATATTTACGTTTTTCTGAGCATTAAGACTATGATTACCTTATGCTAATTATTGTTGTCGAGTATTTGTATAGTTCTTGTGGGTTTTCACAGCGTTAACATTTTGGATACGTGTTAACAATGCAAGATAGAAACAAAGGAATAACAACTCATTAGTATCAGACAAATAACAAACAGTAAATTATTTTCTAAGTTTATAAGCCATGGAGAGTTTGTTAACTGTTTTAGGAATGGTTCTGTGGTGAGCATAATGTATTTCCTTGTTGGGTTTGGCGAAAATTTACGAAAACTGATACTATCTCATTGCTTAATATTACTCTTACTTCAAGTACTATTTAGTATATATATAATACTGTGTATGTAAACTTCCTAAATGTTAGTAAATAGATGGTCGTCCTACAGCATTTCAAAACATCAACTTATGTAGGTTGGATGTGTTTTATTCATGTCAACTCAGTGATTATATAGCAATAATTGCCTGATCCTTTTACAACTGGATAAAAGTACTAGGAGGGAGCTCAGTTTATGATCGTGCACCGTGGGATGGAAGGCAGCTGTTTTCCCACTTTAATTTTCTCAAAAGTCTCACAGAGATCAAGTTACCACTGGATGGTTCCAGACACTACAAGATTTAAATTCAGACTAAAGCCAATCGTAATTGCTGTACTTTTGAAAAAAAACAAAAATGTAATAACTATTTATTTGACATATTTGATTTGACTGCTTTCTTTCTAAATACTCTTCTACTCTTCTCTTTATGATTATGTCATGGTAAGTTTGCGTTAATATATAGATTTAAATAACTGCCCTTGACTTTGTATATAAGGATTTTATATTGTAAAAGAAATGTGTGTGGACCTCACATTATGAAAACGCAGTTAATCGAGTTAACCTAATGATTTATTGCCAAAACGAAATTCTTTTTGGAGATTACTGTAGTAGAACAAAAAGCTGTCATTTCTCACTTAAGCAAGTCCTGTGGTGCATGCTACTTATATTGATATAACGCGAGTTAAAGAATGTAATGTCTGGCAGCAGAAGATGGGGGAAGATCAAGAAAGGAAGAGCGAGAACACAGTGGAATTTGTAAGAAACCGCATGAACAATGAAATGTGAGACAATGGATTGATGTTTGCAACGGCAACAGTCCGGTTTGATATGATGGAATGATATTTTGCAAATTAACGATTTACTATATGGTTTTTCTATTTTACCAAGTAACTCTGTAATTTTGTGCTAAATTTAATTCAGTTGTCCTCACATGTGTTCTCCTTCACTACACTTCCATCATTAGTGAATTTTTATCAAAGTTCTAAAATGATCATTTGATTAGTTATGCTTTATCAGCACTGAATGATGCTTGTATGATCTCCTTGGTGTTAATATATAAGCAACAAAATCTGATTATTTACCCTAAAATTTCGTACATAGTTCATTCAAAAATCCATTCGATTTAAGGAGGTCTCTTTACAAATCGCAATCCATTTGTGTATACAAGTGGAACCAGTTAAACAACCTTTAAAACCCAACATACATATTCTGAAACATAGTGTATAAAGCACAAAGTATCTAGTATTTTGCTAGGCTTTCAAGCATACTTTTGTGCGTTAATTGATTATTCTATCCGACCTCTCAAATCGAGGTAGATGAAGTTCCATTCAAGTCAACGACATAATAATATAAAGTCGAGTACAGCAACCATTCACTCCAATTTATAATCGTTTTATCCTTACATTTTATGTTTTTGAATGCATAATAAAAAGCTTTATAATTAGGTAGCATTTCATTCGGTTATCGGTGTAGATTATCTCTACAAGATTTACCTGTTCTCACCATACTAGTCGTACAGTATCATATCGCATATTCACTTTATTCTGTTATATTATTAAAATGGCTTTATCTCACTTTTGAATTTGTCATTTTCGTCAGTCTCACCTACTACTATAACATGTACTTATTTTTATTATAGGCTTTTGCGAAAATTTTCCATTCTACACCAGATGATTTAGATATGCAGATTATATACGATGTATCACATAATATCGCTAAGGTGGAAGAACATTGGGTAGATGGCAAAATAAAAACCTTACTAGTTCATCGCAAGGGATCTACTCGAGCATTTCCACCTCATCATCCCTTAATTCCTGTTGATTATCAGGTTAGCATTTGTTTATGTTGAAATCACGTGATTTAACGGCTGATAACTATAACTGTAGTTTTATTTCACGAATAGCAGTTAAGAACTGGAAGTTACTAGGCATCTGTTTTGCCTATGGGACTGTTCAGCTCTACGAATACGCGGTTTTGTTGAGGACCTTTGAGCCTTGCAATGAAAGCTTAGTGCCAGGGCCACTGTTTTGTTATCCATTCGTTCGCATTTCTAACTTTAGTTATATTGCGATATTTGTCAACTTTACTCACAACCGTACGTCTTGCCTCACTACTGCCCACTCTGTTATTTGACAAGCGATACTTTTCAAACACCTATGATCAAAAGATTGCAGCTTTCTGTTTTCATAGACTGTTTTTAACAGCCATAGAGCAATATTGAGTGAACTACTTTACGCTATACTCTTCACTTATTTTAGAGATGGTTATGTCGGCTACTAACTCAGTTGATACAAGTTTGGAAAATCAATCCAACTTTCATAATTCTTGCCAAAGAATACATCAATGGTAACGTCTGACTCTGCCGTTAGATTAGATAAAAGTATATCACTGAAAAAGTATTGTGACTACTGAGGGAGAATCATGTGATGCGATGATTTTGTACACTGGCGATTAACTACACTTGATCGACATTAATAAACCCTAGAGTATTGAACGATTCAGCACTCATATTATTGAATTTCTGAAAAATTCCCATCATATTATTTAATTATTCAACAAAACAAAATTTCACGATTATTAAACTACCTTCTAGTGGTTTAGGTACACAAATATCCAGCTTTGACTTTGAAAATTTGGATCTAGTCCCGTTTATTTTAGAGCGAGTAGTTACATAGTGTCTTAAAATCTTACACTTTTATTGTTTGTTGTACTCTTACGCATATCGGTACGTAGTAGTTAATACGTTACGTTTATTTCTGTATTTTCGAGTTTATCGATTAGTTCATTACATATGAGTGCCTTTTTATTTTGCCTTAAATTGAATCCCTACTTAGAATTCTTAACCTCTGTCTTTGTTTCCCACAATTCGCAAGTTGGATGTTTGATTGATTCAGTGTCTTTTTTTCACAGCTTACCGGACAGCCTGTACTTATTGGTGGTACTATGGGTACTTGTAGTTATGTTTTAACTGGTACTGAAAAAGCAATGACTGAAACTTTTGGTTCAACATGTCATGGTGCTGTAAGTAGTAATAATAATAATACTTAACGTTGTGATAATTTTTACTTACAAGTCAAAACGACTCGTAAAGTATTTACTTTATGCATAAAATCAATCAAAAAGCATCAGATTTTTTAAATGAAATATATGTTTTTCACTGATTCTTAGTGGTTTATATCTTTAGTACGATTTTAAATAAACTTTAAAGACTCCGACTTGATTAGTGCATGACAAAATTTCTGCATTTTTACAGAAATTAGGTATGGAATCAAAGCTGTACACCAAAGTCACCTGTGTGCAGTCGAAAATGACATATCAGAAAGCTGTATTTTCGATTGACAAAATAACAGAGTGCATACTTTAAAATGTTCACAAATAAAATCAAATCTATGTTCAGTACTGTCCAAGTTAGTGTTAGTGCAATATACCGATTGTTTATGAAGGTGGGGAATTAATGACTAAAACATCCTATTTCCTGACACTGAATTGAGGACCTAAACACTACTTCAGTACGGAACATCGCGTTGTATCACTAACCTTCACACCCAAAGGTGTTAGTTTAAAGCGGAATAAATGAGATTATATATATTACTAAGTTATCATTAGATTTTCGTATACCAAAGAAATAACATTAAAATCACAGTAAGATTTATACTTTATCTACTTCTGATTTTGTTTAGTAATATTAAGTCAAATATGAACACCTTTATTCATAGACCTATTTAATTATTTCAGTTGATAAGATAACCTAATCAAATTACATATTTGCCTTCAAATGAATTTACTATACGTTTATCGCTATTGATTAGATTTTTATATGAGACAAGATTTGTAGAATAAAATTATTTCATTCCATTTTAAGAACTGTTATTCGTTGTCCATAACACAATCATAACAAATGAAATCAACTTTTAAACAAATATATATGGTCAGTACACATGCTTCCAGCCTAAAAATTGGACATTTCAGTTAGTCTGTTTTCTCCACACAAATATATACGATATCCCAAGTTGCCATACCATATTATCACGTCGAGATAAAAACAATGATCCGGCTAGGAAAGGAGATCAAAATAATATAGTAGAAATGACGTGGAGAAAAGCTAAGCACTGAGAATATGTTCCACAAAGATAGAGTGTAAAGGTTTATATAAAGGATGGAAGATCGGAAGATAAGGTGTAAATGCTTAATGGTCCATTAATCATTCAGTCATCCCTTGACAACATAGGATCTGTCACAGGTGGTTATCAGTTCAGTTCGCCACACTTCAAATCAGTAAAAGAATAGGGAATTAACAGATAAAATAAAAAAAATATGATAGTGATAATGGTGGTGGAAAATTAAACAAAGGATTATTGTTCGAAAGAACAAATCAAGTTGCCAAATGAAAGGTATGTAGTCATTCTGAGTTGCAAACTCTAAAGCAAAATAATTAATGCATCATTGTAACTATAACAAATTCTGAAGTATGTTACGTTAAATATTTAATCAGAATATGACAGTGTATGGTTAACATCAACCAATGGATGTGTATCTCATCAGTATTTATAAGAACTTTTTATCAGACCGATTAAACCCACACAACATGAACGTTAAGCAGCGGGAGTGTGACAATTTCACTGTCGAGCCTAATCTCATTATACCAATTCAAACTGTACTTTGACCTACAGATAAATTTTTAACATAATAGTCCGTTATACTGATTGTCATTTATGTTTACATCAATAGTTCCAAACTATTTTAGTTGTTCTGATTCGAACAGTTAACCATAATTTACAATTAAAATGTGCAAATCGTTTGAAACGGTTACTTAATTGAAAATAAATAATTAAAATATAACTTTATAAAAGTAGATTTATCAATTATACCCCATAGTGTTAATGGAAGCAACTATTAGCGTTAAATATCTCTGTCGTTTAATTACTTGATATTAATTTTCCACTCTTCTTGGCAAAACCTAGAGGATAGTTTACCACTTATTTTGTAGCTCCTAAAAAAGCAACATAATTTGTTATTGGATTTCAGTTTTCTGTTTTTCGCCTTGTTTATTTATCCTTTCAGGGTCGTGCATTATCTCGAGCCAAATCAAGACGTAATCTCGACTATACTGATGTTTTAGCACAGTTACAGGAAAAAGGTATATCAATACGAGTTGCTTCACCTAAACTTGTAATGGAAGAAGCTCCAGAATCATATAAAAATGTAACAGATGTCGTAGATACCTGTGAGTTCTATTTTTTGTTACTTTAACTCAGCAACTTTATGTGTAGAATATGAATTATAGCTCTTAGCTGTTACACATCTTTTAAAATGTATTACGTGCTAATATAATAAAAACCAACGTGACTCAATATTTATAGTCAGACAGGGAAATTGAGTTTGAGACATGTGACGAAGAGAGTAAGTGAGAAACACACTCTCTTACGTACTCGTATGTAAGAACTGTCATGGTTACATGCAAAAAAAGTGACAGGGTCAAATGTAAGTGTGGATAATGTCTCGAAAAAATGGACTGATAACTTGTCTAGAGTGATTCACGTACGCGTAAAATACTATTAAATACTGCACTTCTTTACGATAGTCATTTGTCGTAATCAATTAATATATTGAGTTTTTTTTACCCCAAACGCTGACAACCTATGACTCGTGGATTTCTACTCTTTAAATCAGTAGTATTGTACTAGTCATTTTTGACTTATATTATACAAGCCACTCAATAATCAGCTCCAAATTTTTCTAATTTGCAATAAGTCCCTCTTTTCATGTTGGTGTTAAAGGTAATACCCGTTTGCCTGGATTAATGTTAGTGATCAAGGATTCAAACATGCAATACATCAGTCAAAGGTTCAGTACCTTGATTGTTAAGTCAGTAGCGATCAAACCTTTTCCCACTTATCTCGACTTATACTGCTGTATAATATCATATTATTTTAGTTTTTACTTCATTAGTCTATAGGAACCACGTAGTCATTGACATTTTACTGCTGTTTCGCATTCATCAGGGCTACTAGTAACTTGTAAGTTTAATAAGTCTGTATGATGTCCAAAATCTATGATATTGATATAAGTTTATCATTTCACCTTTATTTCATGTTTCTATTTTCAAGTTATTAGCCTTTAAAATGTTTACTGTTATTGAAAAAAACTGTTGGCTAGTTTGTTATTGTATTTTGTAGTGTTGATTTGTTTCTTATGTATATTTGATTTTCCTCTCTACCTAGGTCAAGCAGCTGGAATAAGTAACAAGGTGCTCAAACTACGTCCAATTGGAGTAATCAAAGGTTAATCTGTTTTTTTGCTCCGGTCGATACTTTCTTCCCCTCCCAACTAAATCCATGCATTCAATACCTCTGTACACAAAATAAAATTGTTCTGTATACTATTGTTACTTTTTTGAAAGGAAAAAATGTGATATTTTTAATTGTGTGATATTCACTGCCAAATAAAATTATTATTACTATTATTAATGTATGTCTTATGCTTTCCGTTCGAGTATATTTAGTTAGTGATTGTTATTCTCATGTATTTTTGTAGTCCTGTTTTTGCTGTATACTTGAAAATTTTACATTAGATTTCAACGAAGTTTATTCAACTTATTTTCCTTTCTACTGTCATAATGACCTTTTTTGCGTAAATATTTATGCTATTCAGTGATTATGTTCAGATTAATTCACTGAATTGTAAACTATATTTAGTTGAAGAGACTGACAAAGATTCTATTTTGATGTGTTAGCTGGTTGGAAATGATTTAATTTAGTCGAAAATATTTTTCTCTTAATAGTTTTGTGAATTTTAGTCCGTTGTGAAGTAGAAATAAAAGGAAAAGAATCTTTTCCTATATTATGTATATATTCGTGCCAGCTGATACTAAGTTTTTCCCATTGTTATGTAAGACTATCTAGTAAATTTTTTCATCGTTGACAAAACTAAATGCATGTAATAGATTATATTAATCCGAATTATATTTTGTTCTTGGGTAAGCTCTCGTATGATATGTTAAAGCATGACCATCGTTTACCGAGCAATAGTATTTACGGTACTGATCAATCTGTTTTTTAAGAAGTAAAAACTGTAGCATTATCACTAGACAATCATATCACTGTGAGATACGTGTAGACGTCGTTGAAAAATTACAGATATTAATAATTGTTCAAGCCAAATCATTGTGTAGATGAAATGGATGAAAAACAATTTTCGACTCAGCTTCATTTATAACTCCTGACTTCAGTTCTATGCTCAGATTCTTTATGTTCTTTAAATATGTTTTGTCCACCTAAGCTTTTCAAGATGGTAGTAATAAAAAAAACGCCATTCATTGAAATGGAACAAGGAGTGAGTGGTAGTTTTCTTCGCTTTCTGTTTGCTTTCGACTTATATTGTCCTTTTATGAGTTGTAGTGAATTACGAGTTTGGATGTTGTTGGATCATCATAGTATTGTATTTCCGGATTTTGCGTCGATTTGGGCAACCGGACAGTATCCCATCCCTCATACAAATCGAACGATTTATGTGGCGCATATCTATTTAGTGCCTCATTGTACCAGTGTTTATGTGTTTAAATAAATAAAATAATAAATTTTGCAGCCACCGCAATAAATTCACATAATCTTCCGTATTTATTCAACATTTTAGTACGTCAATTAAATGAAGATAAAGATAAGACACTGGACGTTATAGAAATGTGAAATTTGAGGATCTTTTACCTTCGGGTAATAATACTATTACTAGCTACGATTTTTTTTGTCTATTGGTTTGTCTAATTATAAGTAGTGACAGTGCATATTAAACAATAACCATTACTGACTAGATAAATATTTAAGTCATCATCACTATTAGGTAATGATTGCTTGATTACCTAAGATACTCATCTCGCTAAGTAGTAGGATAAAAGTTATCAGTAGAGTCACATCGTGAAGGTTGTAATATCAAATATCATTGATCTAGAGTTGTAACTTTCCAGTTAATTTCCCTATTGTTCAAGAACTTACGGCTGAAGTATATTTACAGTAATCTAAGCTTCTCTTGTCATCTAGTTCTACACAGCTCATAGGATTCTCAAGTACATATACCATAGCAGTTATGATCACTGGGAATAATCCCAACTATGATTTAGTCTATGTAAAGCTTTTTTGAAGTGCGTGTACTTTAACTCCACTCAATAACTGTTGGTAGTGTTAGCTAAGTCTACGTCGCACTGATGTATTATGGCACCTTGATCTAATCCACATCCGTTCTAGGCTCTGCTCCGATTATGAGTGACTGCTCAGATCCTAAAATAAACTATCAGTTGATACTCCTATATTCCATTGTCTATGTTAGTTATGTCCAGCATATCCAGGTTCAGTTAGGTAAGCCATACGGATCTCTTGAATCACTACAGGTTTGCTAATAACTACAACTAACCTAAATCTTTTGATTAACGTATTGAGATTGAATTTAACTTTTCAACTTATCCTGTATTAAAGTATACCTAAGGATTTACGTGTATAGAAGCCGTTTTCTGTCTAATAAATTAAATTGGCTACTTTAGTAATCTCAATAACTGCGCTAGCTCTCATGATATGACTGGAAATTTGATTTGGAATTTGTAGACTGTGGTCACCAGACATCCTAAAGCTCATCTAAACTTATCTTACCACTACATAAGTATTCTGTTTCCACGACATAATCACTCAAAAGCAAATAAATCAAAAAAATACTGTAGCCATTGATCACTGTTTCCGAAGGATTATCCATGCTCTGTCAGACCAATCATACATTTCATTGGTGAAATTTAGTTTGCAATTTCCAGCTAAAATGATTCTGTTTTATTGGTAAACTTGAGGAGTATCGAATTCAAAACTATTGTTCAGTCTTATATTGCGTTCTAATGTACACAGCCGAAATTTTCAATATTTTTCAAATAGAATTACACTAAATAGTGAAGTATTAATATAACATTTACTCTTAAATATTATCTACAATACTATACTTTACTAACTAGTAATAAATATCTGAGCAGAATCACTATATCAAATAAGTTTTACTACTGAATTGGAAATATTTCAATAGGCACATATTAATGAGTCCAACTAAAGTATGTCTTCATTTCTTATTGTCCTCTGGAAGACTCGTATTATTGATGGGAGAGAAAACAGTGTTGTGTACTGCTGACATAAATGACTCTGATATAGAATACCACCAGTCCATAGTCGATTAGGATCTCCCTGATTTTATCCAAAAAGTGTATCGTAAACTTCATCCAATGATTTTATGTATCCAGTTCTTCTAATAATTTCAGTCTATTTTGATGGATTGTATTTAAGGGTCCCTGAAAGTGTAGCATTTATTTGTAGAGGAGTGTTTGGTTCGTGTAACTTTGGCGTACCTTAAAGACTCTAGATTTCATCCAATCTTAGTCTTGTTCTTTTAGTTTTCCTGGTTTGATAAGCTACGGTCCTATTACTCACTCTATCAATATCTCATTGTTCTTATCTAATCTATTATCGGCATTCTATTTTATTTCCATGTGTCCTGGTTTTCTTACTGTTAGTAGGCCCTTATTGATATCCCTTTTTTAAGTTCTTTGTTTACCTGATCATTGATTGATAAAATGAAAGTGTTTAAAAGCAAATATAAACTACCATTATTTATTTATTGAAGAACATTTCGTAGTGCGGTGTCATATTTGTGTTTGTTTGAAATAATAGGAATAAATTTCTTATTCATCGGTTTGTTTCCAAATGCTTCTTATTATTGACAGTTAACTATTTTTGCCCTCTTTTTTTATCAAGTTTAGTTATGAATATTCCAGACGCTGATGAAGATCTATTGGCCATCAATACTGAAAAATTAGACAATATACTTGAAAATCGAGATGAAGTTATTAATAAGCAAACCATTCCAGAACTTATTCCCGATGAAACATATAATTTTTCAAAACAATTTTCACCGATAACTCGTCTTTATTCATCTACCATCTATGATCGTATTCATGCCGTATACTCAACAGAGTAAGTTTTTTATGACTGTTTTTTGTTTGTTAAAGTAGGCAAGTCAAATCAACTACTTTAATTTATTTTAGCATATAATCTTTTTTAAACTGTCGGTTTTCATTTAATTCATTCTGTAATGACTATGAGAACTCTTTTGGGACTTAGTTGAACATCTTATTTGCTATACATTAACAAATGTAGGTTAAAGGTTTTACTGATACACTAAAGTGAAATATATGTTTTTACAAAGATACCTTGCGTTACCACTGTGGTGTATGTTCAGTCAGTCAGTCAGTCAGTCAGTAACAACGTAGAACTTCGTACGTACGTACATCAGTTCGAGTTGCCACACCACATTAGCACAGAGATGCAGTGGTCGATTCAAATCCCGTAGTGGTAGAGGTAATAAGAGTATAAGCAGTAATCGGGAAGATTAGGGTTTGGAGATGTTATTTAAAGAGTATAATACAGTGAAATAAATTTGGGAAGAGAAAAAAAGAGACAAGGAGGAATAAGGAGATCAAAATTTGGGAGAACACAAAGAGTGGATGCACCTGCGCCATTGCAAACGATTTTGAGCCATGTCATTCAGGGTCTCTAACCATCGGTTGCTACCATCTCGCGGTCCCCAACCAGGTAGTCTACACCTACCAACATGACTCAGTTCACTTGTCAGTGACTTCATGGACTTATGCCATGTTTTGGTCTGGCCTCCCGTAGCTTTCTTCCAACCTACTCCTATACCACTGAACATAGCACGTCGAGGCAGTCGGTCGTTGGGCATACGTAACACGTGTCCCAGCCATATCAACTGATGAAGTTTCACTACTTCATCAATTGATTTGCCATCCTTACCTAGTACTCGTTTCCTAACAACTGTGTTACTTACTCGGTGGTCCCAGGATATACGAGCAATGTTTCGAAGACACCTATGATCGAATACTAGTAACCTACCAACATCCTCTACTCTTACCGGCCATGTTTCACTGCCATAAAGTAGGACGGAACGAACTGCTGCGCAGTAAACACGTCCTTTGATTGATAGACGGATATCTCGCCTACGACATAAATGACGCAAGTTGGCAAAAGCTAGTCGAGCCTTCTGTATTCGTGCTGAGATTTCGTCACACACCAAACCACAAGGGTTGATGAGACTTCCAAGATAAGTGAAGCGGTCGACACACTCAACTACTTCACTCCCTATCACTAGTTCGGGTGTCGATGTAACCCAATCCTGAAGCAACATTTTGCATTTCGAGGGAGAGAATCGCATGCCGAACATGCTTCAATTGTTGCTTATGTGGTGGTCAGAAGACTCTGCATTTTGTCAGCATCTTCACCAAATATAGAACTATGTCATCGGCATATTCTAAGTCAAAAAGTGAATCTCCTGGTAGAAGTTAAACCTCTGGAAATTTAGATGAGTAGAGTGTTATCACTAAAAGTACGTCAATGACAAAGTTAAACAAGAATGGAGAGAGTGGACAGCCTTGACGAACACCATTTGAGGTAATCAATTCTGATGACAGTTCACCATAAGCTCTCACTCTACCAGTTGTGTAGAAGTAGAGAGCCTTTATAAGGTTAATATACTTCTTTGGTACTCCTTTCAGTGACAAACACTGCCATAGAACCTCACGATCAATAGAGTCGAATGCCGCCTTAAGGTCGAGAAATACTACCATTGTGGGCCGTCTGAATGTGTGTCTGTGTTCTGGAACCTGACGTAGTGTGAATATCTGATCTATACAACCACGTCCAGGTCGAAAACCAGCCTGGTTTTCTCTAGTCTGCTCTTCACGAGCTTTAGTTAGGCGTCGAAGTATTATTGAGGCTAATATTTTAGACACTATATTAGTCAAACTGATTCCTCTGTGATTGTCACAAGAGGACTTTTGTCCTTCTTTATAGACTGGCACAATCAGTGATTGAGACCAGTCAGATGGGATTACGTCCAGTTCCCAAATTCTACCTAAGACCTC